TATATATATATATATATTCGGTGTGATTCGGTATTATTTTTTTTGATTAATTTTTATAAAATAAAAAACCTACTCTAATTATCGGTACGGTCATATATTTATATAAAAACCTACGATATTATTAAAAGAAACCTAAAAATTGGTTCGACACGGTACTTTTCGGCGGTTCAGTTGGTTTTTAAATATCAATTGTCACCCCTAATTTTACTTATCTATCTGAGGTCCGACTAATTTGAATTCTTATCCGAAAATTTCACTTTAGAAGATGAAACGCACGGTTGGAATCCGAGTGCTGATTGATCTGCGATCAATATTAATACAACAGAATGTAACATCTGTTATAAATATATTATATTATGGATGTTCATTTAGTACTCCGTTGTACATAAGCTTCCTGAAGAAGCTTATCCATATGGGACTCTGCCGTAAATATGTTTATCTATTTAGTACTCTATTGGAAATAAGCCTCCTGAAAAAGCTTATCACTTCGGTACCCGGTTATGTATAAACATTAGCCGGTAGAAGATTATCCATACCGGGTATAATAAGCTTATCCTTTCGATAATCCGTTATGGATAAATATTACCCCGGTAGAAGATTATCCATACCGGGTACAATGAGCTTATCCTTTCAGTACTCCATTATGGATAAACATTACCCCCAGTAGAAGATTATCTATACCTGGTACAATGAGCTTATCCTTTTAGTACTTCGTTATGAATAAACATTACTCTCAGTAGAATATTATCCATATCTGGTATAGTAGCAGCTTGCACATCAGCTTCCTTTCTTCTATAAATAGAAGAGATTTCAGTTCATTATGTATATCAGTTTGAATTCGAATAATATATCAATTTCTCTCTATACTTGATGTTTAGTTTAAAGCATATATATTTCTATGTATATCGCCTCATATTTTACTTTTGTTTCGTGAAGTTGGGATGTTAAATGCTATGATTTATATTAATTTGAAGTGTTTTTATGTGTAGGAATGATTCGGGAGCAATTGGGGGTGAAACGCGCAAGATTTGAGCCAAAACGAACAAAACCGTACGAATTGAGCATTTGGGCGCCACAGGCAGCGCTTGGCGCCACCTGTGGCGCTGGAGGCAGAATGGAAGTTTGAGGCAGCGCCCTGGTGGGCGCCTGGCGCTACCCAGGGCGCCGGTGACGTGATTTTGTCCTATTTTGACCGGGATACGGTTTATTCGACCCTAGACCTACCCAACACATATAAAAGAAAGACTAAGCCTATTTTAGAGGGGGGGGGGACGCCACTTTGGAGAAAAAATACACACGAGAAACATCCGGGAGCAAGAACATCTCAGATTTCTTCATCTTTTCTAGTATTTTCAATTATTCAAAACTTATGTGGCTAAAAACTCATTGTTCTGGGGTTGTGATTTAGCCATGAATATTGTTGTTTAACGTTGACTTAACCTCGATTATAATTCACTAATATATGGTTGTTTCTTCAATTCTGTGATTAATTGTTTAATTGTCTAGCCAGCAGTTAGGTTCTATTTACTCTCTATGGTATGCTTGGGAATTAGATTAGAGAAGAATTGAAGAGAGCATGATCTTAACCCTTGGGGGGGGGGGGGGGGTGGATTTGTGGTTAGGATAGAAATTTACCTAGTCACCGTGCTTAATTAAATATCGTAATCTTAATGCGTTCTTAATAGATTGATTCCATATGAATATAGGTGTTAATCTATTTTGAATAGGCGAGTAGTACTTCGGGAGAAGGCTATGAGAGAAATTATCGATTAATTAGCAACCATGAGTGAATTGTATGAGAGAGAGAGTTAACTAGAACACAATAGGATTGGTGAATCGATCACAACCCTGGAATACTTGTCTCTACTGAATACACAACAATCAACTTATTACTTGATAATTTAGTTATTATGTAGAATCGTAGTATAATATAATCATATTATTGGACTTTGATTTTAGCTGGATTGAATAACAATTTTAGTGATTTAGTAAGTAGTTTATACAAGTCTCTGTGGGTTCGACACTCAACTTATCATTATATTACTTGTCGACCACGTATACTTGCGTGTGCGTTTGGGGGCAACAAGTTTTTGGCGCCATTGTCGGGGACTTGAATATTAACTACTTTCTAGTTTTTGATTTAATTGTTTATTTCATCGAGCCTAACGTTACTTGATTGTTGCTCGGATCTCAGGAACTTTGATTGAATGCGAAGGGTCAGAAGCCAGGACCGACTTCAAGGCTTTGACCCTGAACCTGAGAGAACATTTCACAGGAGGTTGAGGGAAGCAAGGGACACAAATAATATTCAGGCACTTGTTCAATTTCCTGGGAACATGGCAAAGGAGCAACACATGGCTGTTCAGGAGGTGGCAATGCCAGCATTGCCAATGTCACCTCTAGCATTGTGAAGCCCAGAATCATTGGGCACTTTGAGCTGAAACAAAGCATGATCCAGCTACTTCATGCGAATGGGCAGTTTATGGGTCTTCCACACGAGGATCCCCAACAGTATATCCTGAACTTCTTGGAGATTAGTGACACTTATATCACTAACGGAGTCACTTCAGACTATGTGAGGCTCACACTTTTTTCATTCTCACTGTTGGGCGAAGCAAAGCGATGGCTGAAGGCAGAATCAGCTAATTCTATTACCTCATGGATTGATTTGGCAAGGAAATTTCTGGCTAGGTTCTTCCCTTCCGGCAAAATTGCAAAGATAAGAAGTGAGATAGTTGCCTTCAAACAGAAAGCGGGAGAGTCTTTATACTCAGCTTGGGAGAGGTTCAAGGGGCTAATCAGAGACTGTCATCATCACAATCAGACAATAGAAGTATTAACTCACACTTTCATAGAAAGTCTACATCCTGAAACAAAGATTTTGGTAGATGCTGCAGCTGGAGGTCAAGTGTTGGAGAAAAGCTTTGACAAGATATATGCATTATTGAACAAATTTTCCAAAAGCAATACGGATTGGCAAGGAGAGATGGGCAGACACACAGTGCAAAAGTCTGCAGTTTTTCTTGAGTTAGATGCCGTCTCAGCATTATCAGCGCAGATTTCTACACTTACCAACCAAGCCAATCAGATGACCTTGATTATCAACAAGCAACAAGCACAATCGGAACAACAGGTTCAAGTGTTTTGTGAAATCTGTGGAGAGGGTCACACGAGCGACATATGCCCCGCTAATCCAGAGTCTGTCTGCTTTATGGGTAATTCAAGTAGGGGCCAAACAAACCAATATGGAAACACTTACAATCCCAACTGGAGGAACCACCCAAACTTCTCTTGGGGTGGAAACCAAGGTACTTAGAATCAATACAGGCCTCAAGCACCTCAACAACAATATAGACCACCTCAGGTTGAACAACAAGCGAGTCCAACAAGTCACCTTGAATATGTTGAAAAAAGTGATGGCTGAACAGCAAGCCCTCGCTCAGAAATTTATGGCTGAGCAGCAAGCCCAAGCCGCAACAATGAGAAATTTGGAGCGCCACTTGCCAGTGCTCAAAACACTAAACCAGCTGTAGCTCTTCCAAGTGACATTGAACCTAATCCTAAGGCATCCCTCAATGCTGTGTCGTTGAGGAATGGGAGACAATTAGAAGAAGTTCAGTCTAAAAAGAGGAAACAGGTGACTTTTAATAAGAGGCCAGCCACTATAGAATTAACATTAGAAAAATCCAAGGAGTCAGAGAAGCCAACTGGAGAGGCGGTGGCTGAGCAACCCCCACCATTGGTTGCAAGGCCACCACCTCCGTTCCCTCAAAGATTGCAGAAAGTAAAGGATAAAGTCGCATATAAAAAATTTCTTGATATTTTGAAGCAGGTGCAAATTAATATTCCATTGGTTGACATCTTACAAGAAGTACCCAAATATGCAAAGTACATCAATGACATAGTGGCAAATAAAAGGAGGCTGACCGAGTTCGAAACCGTGGCACTCACTGAGGAGTGCAGTTCAAGAATTTAGGGCAAGTTACCTCAGAAATTGAAGGATCCAGGTATTTACTATCCAAATTTTGATTGGTAAACATGCTGGCGAGCTTTATGTGATCTTGGAGCGAGCA